GTTTAGCCATTGGCCACGCATCCTCGAGGGGATCGATCACCGATGGTCATCGTTCCTTCCTAGACACTTCGCCAAAAGTGGCTCCAAAACATTTCTTATCTATCTGTTGTCACTTCCCGCCTTTTGCCCCAGTATAGCTAGGTGTGTGTGCTTGAAGGAAATACCACGGGTCGTGCAGGTCCTGCTTGGTGGCTGTAGTGTACTCAAGGAAATGGGCCAGGCGGGCTGTTGCAGTCGCTCCCGAGCTCGAGTGGCCGCTGCTGTCGCCGCCGACTCTGCAATCTTCCCTCTCTTCCTTCTGTGCGATCCTCGCGCGGCAGCTCGGCGGCCTGGTTTTCTTGTAGCCGCACCGCCTGCGTGACGCCATCGCGGCTGTCAGTAGCTCATCGCCGGGTCAGAAACAGGGGTGCTCGACCATGGAGCACCAACAAAAAGAGCTGCTGGCAGTCGCGATGACGTCACGCGAGATTGTGGCAACAACAAGAAGACCAGACCGCCAAGCTGCCACGCGAGGCCCCGAACAGAAGTGAGGAGGACACGGAAGAATGCAGCGTCTGCGACGACAGCTGCGGCCACTTGGAGCGGTCCTACCAACGACGCCGAAGTGTGTGACGCGATTGCAGCGGGAAGCGAAATCCGACCACTGCAATGTGCACGCTAGCGGCCCCAGTCCTCATCTCGTTTTCTCTCAACTCGGTCCCTCGCTATATCGCTCACTCTCAGGCAACACTGATGTGCACGCTAGCTGCCCCAGTCCTCATCCCCTTTTCTCAAACTCGGTCCCTCGCTTTATCGCTTACTCTCAGGCGACACTGAAAAAGAGGGTGTGTCCTGCGTGCTCCTGGTCGGTCGGGTGCTGCTTGTGTCAACACGGAATAACAGGAAAGAGTCCAGGCAGGGGGTCGGTGCATCTCTACAAGACATAATCGCCCAGATGGTACCTTCGACCAAGGGCTCCTAACACCACGTGCTTAGAGATAGGACACGCATCAACCCGGCCACCCATCCACACCAAAAAGTGAAGGGGAGGGAGGGGGATTACCATGCAAAGACTGGAGCGATAACCCACCTTCCAAGATTTGGCAGTGGCCATGACATCCATCCCGGGCCTGTGGAAACCCCTGGAAGTCGCGTGCCCCACAGACTCCATGCGGAACCGGTTGGTAACCTGTTCGGAGAAAACAAATTAAGGCATGTGTTTTGGAATGGAGACAGTAGATTCCACGCGGAACCGGTTGGTCAACTGTTGGACGGAATCTGCGATATTGCAGGGCACAGGTTTGCGGGGATTCTCAGAGCTACAGGAGGTCCCTACAGAGTGCAGGGGAGATACGTGGCTGCTTCTTGTACCAGATCAGAGGAAGCCCAAAGGAGGTGCGTGCGTGGGAGGGTCGCAGAATCAAATCGTTGTTGGCTGTTGGCTAAGAATTCTTCTCTACTACAGCAACAAGTGCCAAGAAGCTGCCGCGTCGTCAAGACGATCGACACATAGCTCAGTCTCCGCCACTGCTGTCTAGAGGGGGTTATCATGCGCGTTCTCAACCGCAGCAAATGGATGAATATTCCAAGCGAACAAGAGCGAGAACGTCCCAACTTGTTTGAGTTACGGACAGTGCGCAGTCTCGAGGAAACCGATTCCCTTCGTCCGTCCAAAACAAAAACCGACATGGTGGATGGTACCGCCGTGCCCCTCTTCCTCCCATGGAATAAACCCATCTGAGCTTGCATAACCAAAAGGTCGGTGGATCGTACAGGAGGCAGCCTGAAATTACAAAAGAGAAGAGTGTGCGACCAACAACACATAGACGTCATCACCGCGTGCAAAGACAAGGATCCGACACCAAAGACGGGGAAACCCCGAAAGGCCTCGTCAACATCAAACAAACACCGCTGCACATCAGCACACCTAAAAAAGTAAACTCGACAGCAAAACCCAAGCCAACCGTCCCCCCTTGCTTGAACTACACACCAAAGTACACCCACCCGAAAACAAACCTAGGGCTAATCGCCCCATGTGATAGCCTGGTCCGGTGAGATCCCGGCGTGCTCCGTCCCGGCTTTGGAGGGATGCGAGGTCAATGGTCTAACGACTACGGCATGCACGACTATGAGTACAACCCCCCCACACACAGCCACGGCCTTCCGCCAAGCAAGCATCGCACCTTGTCAACATCCAAGACGGCGCCCTTCTTGCTCCTCCGTGGGTCGATCTCCAGACCAATGAAATACGCCACGCTGTGAGCCGGGAGCTCCCCGCCCACCCCGCCGCCCACGCAACCCTCAAACTTCTTCGGCCAGAGGTGGACACGCTTGAACGGGAGGCCGGACAGACCCAGGCCCTCCACGAGCTGATCGGGATCGAACACAGCGGGGGGGCGGGGGTACTCATCTTTTGCACGTCTCTGTTGTTAGAACTTTCGACCACGCGCCCTCGACAGGACGAGGCATTGTCCCCACGGGACCGATGGCCAATACTTCCTGCCTAGGGCGGGGGAGGGGGGTCTGTGGATTGGAAAGGTGCGGTAGACGACGGGGTTTCGTGCCTGACGAAGGTGTCCTCGTCGTCGACTCGTCGTTGTGTCGTTGTTTCGGCGGGGGGCTCAGACGGATCTATCATGATGCAATGCCCCCATCAATCAGATTGAGAGATCCACACGTTGAATTCATGCGAGGGTCCCCCATCAACAGATGAACATTATGTACGCATGTCGAATGCATGTAATGGAATAGGACGAGGGGGAACGAACCCCTGTCTTTGGCGTCGCCAGAAATCGGGCACTACCAGAGAATATCCGAAAACATTGCCGGATCGTTACCACCCATCGAGCACCACGTAACGAGTCATTCAGAGACGAATGAAGCACAAACCGTTGGTTCTCACCAATAGAGCACCACCAAACGAGTCGTTCAGAGACAAAACCCAAAAATTACTGGTTCGTTCTCACCTATCGGGCACCACAAACGCGCCACCTTAAGAACTTACCAGATAAGAACTTGAGCGAGCCTACAAAAAACAAATCTAAGAACTTTTCCTGTAATAGAAAGACCAGTGTTCCGTCCAGGAAGGCTACACCAAAACCAATATAGTCGCCGTAGGGGTACAGTGCCTCACAGACAAAAATCAGAAACGATCCTCGAGCAATGTAAGATGTTCCAATGTGGTGGCGCGTTCATTCTGTACCACGGCAGCGGGTCGAGTGTTCGTTCTGTCTCACCTTTCGCAGGCGTGATTCGACCCAGCCGACCCAGGCCCTGTGCTCTTCCTCGCTGCTCGCCATCATGTCAACGGCTAAGTAGTGGTTGTACCTTTTCACGGATTTGGCCGAACGGGTCGTGTTTGGTAATACATTTTCACGGAATTGGTCGAACGGGTCGTGTTTGGTTATACATACCTCTCACGGTTTATTGGTCGTCATGGTCGTGTTTGTGCACGGAGACTCAAGGCTCAAACCGACCCGCACAACGGAATGTCTTTCGTTCCGCTCCGACGGATTATCATATAAGTAGGTGACATGACACAAGATATCACCCCCCCCTTCCCCCTTGCCCGATTTTCAAAGGTCGACTACAGCAGTGCCAGCCGTAGCCCTAACAAACATGTATGTTCGTAAGACACCGAGGCTCAGAGTTTGGACAAAACCAAGCAACATGCCCGAAGAATTTGAGCATAGCGGCCAGCGCTACATAAATTCCTATATAGAAGCCTTTGCTCCGTAGTAGGGACAAAAATAAGGTTTGAGCCTCGCTCGACAATACGTGTTTCTTGTGAGCGGGCCGGCACTGTACTCCACGACGAAGAGGATGTCGAAATCAAACTATGCTTCGCCGCGAAGCTCTCTACGAGAGAGACGGTTCCAACGCAGCGTCTTGCGGCACCGCCGCTCTTTCTGCTGGGGAGCAATCGAGCCGTGGGAATCGGTCCAGGGCGTGCGGCATCTTCCGTCATGTCACCCACGGTGTTCGTACGTGAGGGGTTTTATATCTTTCACACTGCGATCATCCCACAACGAAAGGAAACTTCCCTCCTGCTTCCGCTTTTCGTTGGTCTTGCAGACATGATGCAGATTCGTCTCCAACGTTTGTGTCTATGCCGGACCCAAAGGTTCAACAAGAACAGAACTCACAGAGTCTAAGATTACGTACTACTGCAATGCCGCAGATAATATATCAGGTAGAGGGAAGTTACCACCATACTGGCTGTGTGTCGCACCGCACATTATTCACCCCTTTATCTTGAGGGAGTACGGAATACTTCACGACGCAGGTAACTGAGACTCAGAACGATGTCTATACAACAACTGAGGCACAGCACGATGTTCCCACCTTGTGCTAAAATCCATGGTGCCCGACGGTTCATCGTTTTTATTGTCAAACTGTTCACAGCACACGGAACATCATACGGAATACCAAGATCTTCATACGGTTCATTTTACGCGGTGCGTTTGGTATTTGATGAACATCAATTCACAGTGCACAGAACGGCATATTGAACGCGGTACGCCGTACGGGTACTCCGAACAAACCTGAGGAAGAAATCCGACGGCTCAAAAAGCTTCGAGAACGCCGACAGAGAGCCCTTCTCTTTCATGATGCCGTTTACAACCTGCCAAGGTGTTGGAAGGAAACAAGGGGGAGCCGCAGACAGCAAACCGACGATGCCATTCGATTCCATGCGGCGGCACAGCCGGGGGCGTAACTTAAAGAAAAATATAAAAACACCACCACCTAGAAAAATCGCGGAAAGCACACGGCTGTACAAGTATTCGTTTCAAATATTGACAGGGGCAGCAATTTGACATCGGGGCTGCGTGGTGGCATTTTTACGACACAGATACACTTCTGGTTTGATCGTTTCTGAAGGACTCACGTTTTGTCGAGTTCTAAGGACCATTTGTACGTACCGCGAGGGGCGAAGCAAACGACAATCAACGCGCTCGCGACATCGTCAACCCCTGGACTGACGCCCGTCCCAAAGAAACTACAGGTTTTGACGACTTACCGTATATGACACAAGATAACACACCCCCTTGACCAATTTTCGAAGCTCGATTTCTCAACTGCAGGAACAGTCACAGCGCCGAAAACTGCGGCGTTGAAACCGTCTCGTCGAGAGCTATTCGCAAATGTATCGTTTCATTTATCCATTATCTTTGTCGTGGAGTAATCGAGCTTTGAAAATCGGTCCAGGGGGTGTGTTATCTTGTGTCATATACGGTAGGCTCCTTTCGTAGGCGACGAGGTGCAAGGGTAAGGTTGTAAGGCTCCTTTCGTTGGCGACTTGGCAGAAGGATCCTCAGGGTCGAGGTGCAGTAGCTCTACCTTTGGTCCGCTACCGAGGGCAGGCAGGTACTAAAGGTGCTTCTCCATTCATGTGTAGGCACGGAGTGGGGTACCATACCAGAAATGTAGTGAAAAAAATGTTTAGGCAAGGAGTGGGGTACCAGAAATGTAGTGAAAAAAGAAAGGGTGGTGCCCAATAGTGTTCCCACGTGGAAGATGTGTGTATCTACCAGTGGTCTCTTGATTTCCACGGTGCTCGGAACGCTGCCAAGGATAGGGTCTTCCCATCATTTGTCCGTGCTGCTGTATGGACTCTACGCTTCCGATATAGATTTGCCTCTCATTCCACCGTTTTGTCGATACCTGACAGATGTATTTTTTTCGTTCAGCAAAAGCAAGCTCGTCATTTGGGAGGGAGGGGAAAGGACACACTTGCTCTTCCACTCTGCCCCCTCCAAAAGCAGAAATGCCGCCTTACCTCGAGACCCCTTGAGAACTCCGAGGTCATGACATCGAGCGTGAACCTGGAGGCGAAACAGACAGAAGGATGCGGCGAAATAAAAGTCTGGATGATAATAATAACAACACAGCTACACCGTTCGACGAACATAGTAGCATGCACGCGACGATGCAACACACCGGGGCCCCCGTAAGAGTTTTTTTCAAGCACCATCTGGGGGTAGTGCGGCACCGGCTTTTGGGGACTTCAATTGAAATAATTTCGAAGCCCTCATACAATTTTTTTTTTTGTTAGGGTTCCTGCAAATCGCACGCAGTTATAATACACATACTGTTGTAAAGTAGCGAATTCATTCGGGAGCGGTGTTTTGTACTACCTGGACACGTTTGCCGAGGAGTTCATCACAGGGTAGGCGGGGGTGATAATAGGCATGCAGTGCCAGCTGTTCGCTCGGGCGTTCCACACCTGTGCAGGGGGGAACAAGGACAGAGTGTGTGGGGGGTGTACTCATGGTCGTGCATGCCGCAGTCGTTAGACCATTGACCTCGCATCCCTACAAAGCCGGGACGGAGCACACAGGCTTCTCACTGGACCAGGAAGGGGGGGGGCACTCATTGTTTTGCATGCCTTAGTGGCTAGACCATTGACCACGCGTCTTCGAGAAGACGCAACATTGTTCGCACAGGACCGATCTTTGATTGTTCGGTCGTTACTTTCTATTTTGCCAAAGGTGGCTCAAAAACGTTTTCCCTACCCGGTTTATCCTACATTCCTACATGAAGGGGGGGGGGACGGAAGACAATGGAAAGAACCAACACTCAGATTCCCTATTTCCCGCCACCTTTTTCTCCTGACTAATCGAGACGCTGGTATATTGGTCCAACGTCCTCACCCCAACAAAGCATCGAGCATTTGCAACGGTTCTAACGCGTACAGCGTCCCCACGCCAACAAAAGCATCAAGGATTTTGCAGTTTCATTCCTTTCTGCGTCACCTCCAGTCCAAACCAACAACTATCGAGTATCTACACAACTTTGTTCAATTCTGCGACGTCACCTCCAGTCCAAGCTCAGCGTCGTAGGGCTGGACGAGCTGGATGGCGTTGGGCCAGTTCCAACCGGCCATTAGCTTGAAGAACCGATGCAGAAGGGTCGACGGGCCGGCGTTCGGGTACATCTGCCCCCGACAACGACAGCGACAATGGTGGTTTCGGAGGCACGCGGGGAGTTGTTATTCGGTGCTCGGACTAAGGGGTGCTGCGTCAATGGCTTGTTAGCAGGTTCGTTGGTATGTCGCTTGGTGGGCACCTAATGGTACTGTTTTGTCTCGAAGCCGGAGCTGTGAACTGAGCTGTGATCGGAGTTGCGATCCGAGGTGTGATCGGAGATGTGATACGTACTATAGGAGATATGATCCGAGGTTTGATCGGAAATGGATATGATCGGAGATGGTTGTGATGATCGGAGGATGTGATACGGAGCCACCACATGCCAAACACAACCGCATCTACAAGCGCCCCCACTACGCCCTCCTTTCTTCGCCAAGCCAACAACCGAGCCAAAACATGCGACGGCGGCGGTGGAAGGGAAGCAGGGCCTACCTACCACAGCAAACAAAAGAGCTTGTTCGCAAAAAACAGCAGTGCGGGTAGCATCCCTGCTTGGTGTCGGTTGCATGGCAGTGTAGCGGTCAGGTCTTTGGGTCAGGTCTTTGGGCACATGCGTACCGACACTGCTGCATGGTATCGCCCGTGCACAATACACGCAACCAACCGCCGCAGCGTTAATTCGCCGCCCACCTGACAAGCGAAGGCCACCATGATGTTGAAGTTCACCCCTCCCAAGTATCCCATCTTGTTGCTGTACAAACCCCTGGATTTGGCCCACTTTCGGACGCACCTCACCACCGGGAGGAACGAATCGTAGTTTGGAACCTGCAAAAACAAAAAAGTCAGGAAAGAAGGCAGGCAGGTCAATAGTTACGGACAGCCTTCGCGAGAAAAATTGTAAATGAGGAATATAACAGGGGCGGGGGGGGGGGGGGCGTACTCTTATGTTTTGCTTGCCATAGCGGTTGGACCATTGACCACGCGTCCTCGAGAGGACGGAGCATTGTTCCCACAGGACCGATCGCCGATGGCCAACCGTTCCTTCCTACATTGCCAAAGGTGACTCAGAAATGCCTTCGCAACAGAGGGCGGAGTACGAAGACCCCATCTTGCGATTGCATGCTTTATCCAACGTGTCTGCTAAAAACGAAACACCCGTCAACAAAGGCCCCATATTCCAAACGTTTCTGTCGAGCCGAGCAAAACATGGGAGGCGTGGATCGGGGGGGGGGGGGGGGGGGGGGGG